GCTTTTTTCTCCATCTTATCCTCTCCTTAGATCTGCTTTTCTTCTCATTACTTATTATTTTTTCTTTATAGTTTAACATACAGAAATTTCTTCAGTCCTCTCTCCCTTACCTTTGATCATATTCTGCCTTTTCCAACATCAGTGTAGTTATTAAGTTTTATAAATGACCATGAAAAGTCATTTTTGAAAGATGAAAACATAAAAATTACTTCCTTTTTAATTTACTCATAATAAATCTCTAAACCTTTACAAACAACAAATTCATTCTAACAAAACAAGTACACATTATTAATAAAGCAATAATGAAATTTAAACTTTAAAAATTTGCAGATCATCTGCAGTATTACATGAATGTGACTTCTACAAGCATAATTCAAATTGAAATGAGGCCAGATTTTTGGAATCAATAATCCTATTTCTTTCCAAAGAGGCATCAGGTATCACTAATGGGCACAGATGGTCAGGACCTCTATTTTACATCTCTATTAAATATTTTAATGAGCCTTAAAAATATCAGCCTGTGCCTGCACAATGAAAACTAACTTTGTCAAGCGTTTTTTTTCTTCAGAAACACACGCGGTATCACAGCCAGCTTTATTGATGGACTCTGTAGTGCACATATGTGTATTTATTTATTGTCTCTAGAACATAGATATCTATTTATCAGAATCAGGTCAATCCTTCCTATTTACTAGTGAGGCTTACTTATTCAAAACATGAAGGGGAGACTGTATTCACGAGAAAACTAGTAACAAATGGCAGGGCATTTGTTATTAGCACAAGGCAACCAAAGAGAAATCACAAAATGCCCATTTATGAGCCACGAAGAGATCTCAAAGGGCAAATAAGGAAAGTAAACATGGTAGGACAGTGCTTACCAAGGGCTCCACCAACAAGCTAAACACAAGTTAGCTTGAAAGACTCTTGGTCAAAGTCAGAAAATGATGCATTTGCTCTAATCTGCTACATCCACACCACCTCTGCAAGGGCAAAAACACAATATTGAATAATTTGTCCTGCCCAGGCATATTCAGCAGGGAACACGACCACGAAGACCAATCTGCCCTTTGTGGATACTCTTCATCAGCCATCAGTGCCTGCATCTCACACTTTCAGTCTTAAACACAAGTTGGCTTGAAAGACTCTTGGTGAAAGTCAGAAAATGACACATTTGCTCTAATCTGCTACATCCATACCACCTCTGCAAGGGCAAAAATACAATATTGAATAATTTGTCCTGTCCAGGCATATTCAGCAGGGTACACGACCACGAAGACCAAACTGCCCTTTGTGGATACTCTTCAGTATCTTCACTCTTCACTCTCAGTGCCTGCATCTCACACTTTCAGTCCCCAGATCAGGACTCCCAGCAGGGCCATGCCTGTCCCTGCACGCGCGTCCTCCCAAGATCTCTACTGAAGATTTATCCCTAACTGGGCATTTTAACACAGAATTTCTCATTACTCATAAGGTCTTTTCGCAGTGTTTCCTTCTTGCATCATTTCAGCCTATTGTCTCAAAAGGCAAAAATTCCAAATGAATAAATATGTAAAATTGTACCATCCTGAAGAAAAGCAGAATCTGGAAATTTTTGATTCTACAAAGTAAGAATTATTCCCTGTGTAGGAGAACACAACACTTTTCCCCTCTGAAATATCCCTATAATTAGAAATTATCCCTGGAACTATAAATATTGACCATGTAAGTGTTAAGAAGACTAAAATGTCTATATTCGCATGAATAAGCCAACACTCAACACTAATTAATACACACTTTTCAGTTTCCAGTGGCTGTCAATAACCGATCAAAATAGGACATCTTTTTTCAGTTTCATAAAGCCACCAAGAAAAGAAAGAATAAGGAAGGAGAAAAAAAAAAAAAAACACAGGTTTAATACATTATAAAAAGCATCGGTATATTGCAATATACCAGCATACTGGGGAACTGGATGGTATACAGGGTTCGTTATTACATAACCAATGCTAGGGGAAAAGCTGCAAGCAAGCTCTTGGAAAAGCAATCAGAGATGTTCCTATCTAATTATATTCACTACAGTAAAACTAGCAGGATACATTTCAGTTTAGAAATATAATAATAGTTTCACTCTCTAAGATCTTTCCTGTCTATCTATTTTCTTTAGTTTGCTTCCCTTAGGCTTTAAAATCAATAAGTGAAGTCAAATAAAAATTACCAAGTATCTTTTTGAAACATAACATAGACAAGAATAAAATATCATGCTATCTTATCAGTTTTCTGAAAACTGGATTTATAGGTCAAAGACTAACTGCTCTTTGTGTTTTAGGTCTCTGAGTCTGAATTGGATGCAAATACCACTTCCTTTATAGGAAAAGATGTAGATCCATAACTGAACCAGTAAAAAAACAAGAAGTGGACACAAAAATAAGTACTATGGCACCAAGCACAGATTTGAGTAAGAACCTAGGGTGGAAAAGTTAGAGCAAAAATAAGAAAACTGACATCACTTTATTTCAAGATGTTTCTACTTATGAACCTAATAAGTCTTTAATCGTATGATTCCTGTTACTTCCATAGGACCCAAACTGGTCTTGCCTTCTGAAAGAAAGCATTATTCAGTCACAGCAAGTATGAAAAGGGCTGCGTAGGCATATGCAACATATACATGTTTTATTGAAGAAGACAGTTATAACACCAAACTGCCATGAAACAACTCTCTTCTGGTTGTGTTCCCTGTTAGATATGCAAAGATTTAATTAATTCTCTGCCTATGTTCAAATTAAATGAAGAAAAGTTCTCCACAAAAGTGGAGTGCAAAGTTCTGTACCATAAGACCAGGCAGAAGTAGACCAGTTCATTGAGCATGCAATGGTCAGCAACATGCTCAGTCAGACATCCACTGCAGAAGGAAGGAGCTGGTAGATTATGTAGGAACACAGTCTAACAGGGAAGGTCCCAATTGCCGTAGTCTGCAGTCAAGATGCATTCCCGGACTAGCACAGATGATGGGTATAATTTAATTAAGTCTTCGACCTAATGTTTAAGACAGATGCCTTCACAATACCATTCTTTCAATATGATTTTTGAAGATGACTTGTACTGAAGTATCACTGCACTCTGCCAAAACAGGTTTTACCCCTGCCCTAATACTCCTCCTCTGCCAGCCATGTACTCACTGCCATCAACCTGCGTCAGCTCTGAAGTTTCTCTGGTTGTGCATCATGCTACTTCCACGAATTAAAATGTCAAAATAACACTGACCCAGCAAAAGAAAGTGAGCAATTGTGATCTGACTACTGCCAGAGTTGGTGCAAAGGAGGGGAAATGGCAGAGAAGGAAAGGGAGGAAAAGAGACAGGAGAAGCACCAAGTGTTTGCATGTAAAAGTATTTAGGAGCAGGTAAGGAAAGGAGGTAGGAGGAGGAAAAATAAAATACTCCATTTCCAAGAAAACTGGTAATTTCTCTTAGATTTAACAAGAAACCATACCTTAGATGAGATCAAATCAATTAGGGGAAGGATTGACACTGATTACCCTTAATCAAGCATTAAGTGAGTGATAATACCCAGATGCATATTAGAAGTATATAGCAGCCCATTTGTGGTGCGCAAATATTCTCCCAATATGCAGTGCTCAGGGCACCTCATTAACAAGAAGCTCTCAGGTTCTCCTGCTGAGAGGAGGCAACAGGGAGAAGCAAACCTGTACAGTTAGATACTCCTTTATTAAAGACATTCTCAAACAATCCTTAATGAATCCTTCAATTTGTCTTTTCATTATCATGGCAACCAATGGTAATGGTTCAAATAAGTGTTCCCGAACACACACCTAATTAAGAGCAAAGGCATACTGCTGCAGCCCTTCATCAGGCAGATAAGGACTGCCTCCAGCAATAAGCTACCTCAAAGCAAGCTAAAATCCTCCAAGTAAGCTTAATTAACTTCCAGGAGAATTTAGAAGAGAATGACACAGTGATTAGGATGCTGCTCTGTGTAAAAAAAAAAATAACCTAAAATACGTCTAGATATATAATATTCAGTTAAAAAATGTGGAAGCATAGATTTAAGAACCATTTCAGATAAGAAACAATGTATTTTGAAAATCCAACTTGAATTATAACAACTAAATTACCACAGTTAAAGAGCAATCTCCAGCTAGACTCCTACCAGTTCATAGTTTCAAATAGAACAGCTTTGGCAGGAGGGGGGCTACTTAATTATCCCTTTAAACACACAAGTCACTTCAGATATAATGTTTCTTGCATAGTCTGAATAGTATCAAATCATTAAAAAGAGAGAAAGAGAGAGAGAAGTTAAGAAGTTATACACACACATGCACACAGAGAAAAGAAACAGAGGAAACTAAACCTAACTAATCATTTTGCACTTCAGCAACTTTTCTTCCTGACTGGTTGAATTTGAGACCTTCTAGCTGACTCTTGATTTACCCAAAATGGCCAGAACACTCCCTGCACTTTTTATTTGGATTATAAGAAACAGTTGGTAGGAATTTAGTGCACATTATTAGGGAATAAGAAGAAATGGCAATGCACACTTTGCCAAGGCAATGGAAAGACTGCTGCATCCTCCCCCTGAACTCATCTTTCCCCGTTAAAATGACCTTTCAGGGAGGGGAAAAAGAAAAAAACGGTGGAGGAAATATGCAAAATTACTCCGCTGAGGGAAAAAAAGAAGGTAAGGTTTCTCTTGGGCAAATCCATGAACTTTCGTGCTTACAGGCATTTCACGATGGAGCATCTAATCAAAAATGGTGATGATTACTCTATGGGGTGCACTAAAAACACATACAGGAATATTCCTGCAAGTGTTTTCAGAATGAGACCCAAAAAAAGCTCCTCATTTCCTTGAGCTTAACTGTAGAGCTAATGCCCTAATCCTTTGCTGATGCCACTTAATTATAAAAGTAAATACTGTCTGGCCATATGTGCTTTTCTGTTTGTTTTTGTTTTGTTTTAGAAAAGAATTGAATACGTTAAGAGGTTTCAGATGGCAAGAGAGCTCACTCTCTTTTTTCTGTCAGGTCACATGTGACCTAAAATAATGCTCAGCACAAATTTTAAAGATATGGATTCGTGTGAAGTGCTATATTGCCCTATGTAAAAAAAATCAATAATAAATAAAAAATCTATTTTTATATAGCTACTACAAAATGTGCCCAGATATCCACAAGACCAACATTATTCCCAAAACTGCAAAATCAAGACTAATCTTAGCAATATAGGACCAAGAGGGACCTTTACTGTTTTTTACCTGATACAGCAAGTAGTACAACACAGCGTCCCTTTCAATATTTAGAGATCGCCTTCTCAAAAACAGTTCTGTTCTTGTTTTATTTGCACCAGTAAACTATTCCCAAACTCATTGCTTCTTGAATAATTTAACTATGGCAAATATGATTTTTTTTTGACAACACTACTACGTAGCTTACAGAGCTATTAGTTGATGAGGGATTTACAGGCAGTAACTGTGCACATCCTCAAGTTGCTTATTCATTCCCAGCCACCTAAACATTCTTTTCTTTTTTAACCTCTTCCTCCAAGACGGATGAATCTGGAGGAACCGAAGCTTAGAGACAGAGCATCATGCCCCACTGCTGTGGTTGATGAACAGGGAAACTGTAACAGCAGTGCTTCTCTTTGCAGGGTGGAGTAACATGAGTTCATTTGTAGCTTTGCTGTGTGCCACATGGCTACTGCATGATTGGGTAGAGAAAGGAAAAACATCTTGTGAGACTACAGTTATTTTCCCAACTGAACAGGAATTTGCAGATTTTTTTTAATAAGATCACTTTAGACAGACCTACTCGCTTTTCTGAGGTGTTAGCACAAGGACACAGGAAGGTAATGGAAGCTTAATTCGTTGGAATAATCCAAGAGAAATAGCTGCATACCAAAAAACTTCATCTGTGAGTAGGAATTAACACAGGTTCCTCACTATCTTTATGAGAGAACATTTGAGGATCGGGACAGAAGTGGCTTCTTCTAATGGCTCTTCAGATGCAAACAGCTCAAGGTGTTATTTGGTGACTCACAGCAGAGCAAATAAACATGGATAAACAGTATATTCCTGTTGCGGGGTACCATACACACAGCTGCCAAGGAAGTTATGTTTTCTAACTCTGTAGTTTGAACTTCATTTTCAGCTCAAAACTAAAACAGGAAAAAAAAAAATGTTTAAGGCCTGACACAGCTCTACTCTTCACACCCAAGACAGTTTGCAAATTGCGACCAATAGTGAAAGTTCTGTCTTACTGTATCAGAAGTATGTGTATTTGTCACTGTCTAGTTCTGCCCTAACTATTTATTAGGATCACCTAAACAAGAAGAGCGGATTTGAGCAGTCAAATTTGCATCTGTCACAAAATTTATACTAGACTAATTTTTGCCATGTTGTCATAAAGCATCTGCCTTGCTTTTCTGTCCACACGGAACACAGAGCACTTCATAGGAGTCCTCCTAAAAACAGGAGGAGCAGGTTTTAAGCTATTAGGCTCCTGGAAACCAGGTCTTCCTCTTTTTACTTTGGTTAGGAATAAGAGAAACAAGCAGAAACAATTTTCAATCCAGTGGGTCTGGAAGGCCAGGGAGTAACATAAGAGTAAGTTGGTGGTACAATCTAGCTCAATATTACTTGTCTACAAAGAACAAAACTCAATCTGACATAGCATGAAAAGAAAATGCTTTTCTCACCTTGCTCCAGCAATAAGCTCCTTTTGTCCTGGGTCAAACGTTAACTGTGAGAAGTCTACAGCATCTTCTGATCTGAACATGTATAACCAAGGGGCAATTTCTAAAAAAAAAAAAATGAAATGAAAAAAGAAATATAGTCAATATTGTTGATACTGTAAACACTTATTGTAAATGTCATAGTTACATAGGACATCAAGCAGCCAACAGCACATTTGCAGGTACCATGGGGCTGAGTTTTCTCAGTACGGTTATCTCAAGGAACACAGGAGCCTTTTATCACCATAACACATAATCTGCCCTATGATATTATAAAGAATAGCACCCAAAAACGACCAAAATAGCAAAATCTAGTTTTTACTTATAAGCCAGGTACATTTTTTTTTCCCCCACTTAGGTAAGGAAAACAGAGTACAACAACGGATCATTGGTAGATAACCAAATAAGATCAGATTAATTACCTATATCTCAGAAGCAAATGCCTACGGACAAAAATAATAAAAACCAGCACGTTTGACTTCTGAAGCAGTTAGGATGAGGAAGGAAAAAGGGAAGATGCCTAACACTCAGAAAAGAGCATTTTTTATCTACCATTCTCAGATCAACGTAACACTATGAAAAGCAGATAGCAGACACATGGGAAAGCTGCTGAAATTCAGCAGTGGATGTTGTTTGTATTTGGAATATGATTTTTCTGCATCCATATCACTCAAGGGGTACCCCAACTGTGATTGTACTAGCACAAATGTTGTTCCAGAAGCACAGAGATTTTCTTAGGCAAATACATGAAGTAACACTGTTTATGAGGTATAACGATATTAATCATTCTTAAAATAAATGCAGCTGTACAAAAGCTTCCAAAGTTTGTCTTCCAATTCTCAGGATATCAAATCTATTTTATTACTGTTTTTAATGTGCCTACAAAACAGTATTCCACAACATAGGCAGAAGGTGAAGAGGATAATGTATCTATGATGATACGATGGTGCTGTGGGCATGCCCATGTAAAGTCAACGGACGTGAAAGAGGCGAATAGAAGGATCAAAGGTGCACACGTTGTGACAGCCATTTGGTACATGCTGACAACACCAACCTCTCTAAGAGGGCCACTGCCCTGTAGTTTTTGATATTGTGATTGCCACTGATGGCTCAGGTTGCCCAAGAGGACCCCCTATTAAGTCCTAGTTTTACGCTCACTTGAATATTTTCCCTTGCAAATGTCTGGATTGAAATAATCCACATCTGGTGCTTGTTTCAGGGTGATTTGTTCTTAATTCAAATATTTAAGTTTTAGCACAAATAGATTATTCGTTTCCAAGGAGAAGACCAAGGTGAAAAACATTATTTTGTGTCAGAAACATATTCAGCAACTCCTGAGACCCCTCAGACGGGCTGTGCAGAAGCTGCAGCAGCAGTTGCTTTGGGAGAACAGACGGACCCTTGCAGTGCAACCACACGGGTGTCAGAAAAGCAACGTCTGCACTTTTAACAACAGCCTGTGTGGATGTGGGCAATCCCAGGCCTGGGATGCCTGTCTGTGCATGCTCAGCAGAGTCTGGTAGCTGTGTTCACTGTTAGCTCCCCTAGCTGTAAATTCCCCACCATTACCGGGAGAGGCTGGAAAGGGTCCGCTGGGTCAAGGCACATCCAGACTAGGGAGCCAGAGGGTCACGAGGACCTGCTGAGAAACCTCTCTGAAATCAGATCCCCTCTCCTCCTACAAAACATGAATTGTGTGTGCTTGGCTGGATTTGGTACTGGTCCTGCTTGGGATCAAGAGCAAACAGGTTCAGAGAGGACAAAGGGCAGCAAGAGCAACTGTTATTCTTTGCCGCAAACACTCTGAAATAGCCAACTCTGCCTCCTATGGTGGCATTGCAAGGCTCACAACAGTAAGATAGTAGGGGATGAAGTTACACCTTTTGTGACATTTCTTAAAGGAAAATATCTTCTAAAAAGCAAGAAAAAAAGCACATCCAAACAAAACCTTACTTAAAGTGTAAGAGTAAAGTATATTGGTGAAATTCTGTTTCCAGTTACACTACTAAAAAGTAACTAAATTAATAGAATAATTTCAGATTTATTACTATCTAGACAGTAAAATATAGCTGAAGAGCTGTAAACAAAACATGATCATTCAGTTTTGGTAAGAATTATCTCCTTAGAGTCAGAAATGAATAAGAAGCTATTAAAGGTCTATCAAACATTTTTCTTTGATTTAAAACTCAAGGTTACGTAATAACAGCTTCACTTAATTAACAGTTTTCTGGCAGATGCAACATGATGTGCTTTATACGATAACACAGCTATAGATTTTATATACTGCACAAGGTCCCAAAGTAAATGCGCAAGTTAATTTTGCAACCTGCTGATATGTAGCCTAATTGTACAGCCTGCTGATCCCAGCAAAGCAGATGACAAACTGCCCCAGTCCCCCTGCTTTCCTGCTGCAGCTCTCCTGGTGCTGGTGTCCCCCTCCTCTATCCCTGCTCCCAGTTACTGTAACGCACTCAAACACTTTCCATCACCTCTCTGTTCTTACTGTTGATAGTGGAGACACTTACTCAGGCACAGCTTCATTCTGGCGGGGGTTTTGGGGTATGTTTTCATTTGAAGTCAAGCAAGTATCATTCTGAAGGCATCAGCCTCGGACTTTAAGCTCTCCATGCAAAAGCATTATTGCTGCATATATGCAATCGTGACAGCAAGTGGAGCCCAACCTGGGCCCTTTTAATACAACCACTATGCATATCAATCAGTTATCAGTAAATAAAGAAAAAGCATTAATATACAAGTAAAATCTGCTACAAGTCAAAAGCATTCCTGAATTAAAATGCATGTTTTCTGATGGACTTAAGAGATACGAATATTGAAAGAGCTGGAGATTCTGAGAAAGCTGCAGTTCTCATTTCACATGCTGTGAATCACAGAGTTATTTCAGGGTCTGGTTGACTTTTTTCTTTTGATCAGCTTAGTTTTAATGGGAAACAAAAGTTTGTCATGGTTCATAAAGCTATGGCAAAGCAAACACAGGGAAGCCCACTCCCCTTGCCATAAAGGTCAGGAGAGTCTCCCAGAGAGCTTTCTAGGCAAACAAGGTTAATGATCAAAGCTGGACGGAGGACAACATTAGACACTTGTTCAAATGATGAAAGTCCAGAAAGTTGTCTCAATCTTACTCTACAATTAATGTCTACCTAACAGGCCATGGCTCGTTTGGCTCACATTTGCCGAGGACTGCTGACCTCTACATTTCTTTGTAAGTGAAACAAAGTTGTCTCTCAACTGGCTGGTTTCATCATTCAGCCCTTCAAAGATAAGTAAACAGAAAAACAATTTGACAGAACACCAGCACAAATAGAGTAGTATGTTTAGAGATGAGCGCTGAAGTGATCTGACATGGTGAAGAACAAAGTTAAAGATGGGTATAAGGAGCTCCCATTTGCATTTAAAAATTAACAGAGATACTAAAACTTTCAGCAGTGCTTGCACGTAGATATAAAGCGACTCATGCCATGGTGTCCTTTTGTGCAAATAGTGACCACAAAGTTAAACCATATGGGCAGCCGCATCTTCTTGGGGGAACTGCTAGTAGAGAAATGCTACTGTTTAAAATTACCAGCTTTGCAATATTAGCAGATGTCTCTGGGTGGCATCGGTACCACAAATTCACTAAGCTGAGCAGAGGAAAACTAAAGCATTCTAGCACATGCAAAAGGGATTTTATAATCAAAAGTACCAAATCTAAGGACAAAACAATAATTTCAGCCTTCCTAAAGTTGTGTAACAATTTTAGCGTTGTTCAGCTCTTTTATTCCTGCGATACTCATGTTACTCATGGGTTATCTTCAAAGGCAAAAGACGAGGCAGAAGTGTATGCTGTGATTCACTGAGCCCATTACATCAGCTCTGGTGCCAGCCTCACTAACCCCAGCTACTGAGCTCGCTGAAGATGTTGTGAAGGGCTTCCGTGCATCACTGGTATCACTATGAATGCAATTGTTAATTTTTTCTTTGAAGCTTCCCAGTATCACATAAATATTGCCATGAATCAGAAATTTGCTCAAAACAACTTCATACAAACAGCCACTTCTCTGTGCTAGAAAAAAAAAAGAAAAAGAAAAAAAAAAGAAAAAAAGAGAAAAAAGAGAGAGAAAGGCAGGCATCTGAGAGTGTATTTTGTTTCTGCAATCAACTTTTTCTCTATGTGCTTTCTTTTTTGTATTTCCTTTCACCAGTCGTCTTTTCTACCCCTTGCAGTGCAAGTCATTGACTCCCAGCGAAAGGAGAAAGGTATCACAGCTAGAGGGAACAGCGGAAACATGAGCAAATACTGTCCAAAAAGAACGAACTCCCTCAAGAAAATCCAGCCAAAGAATGACTGTATCTTATCTAAAAATAAGGTTTTCACCCCTACTTATCCAAAAGGGGCTGAGGCTGCAGTACCATGCAACTCCACAGCAGTCAACGTGTTCTTCTTCACAAAGAATAAACTCACACAAGAACAAGTCACTCTTTATACAGCTCTACTTTTTTGGACTAACCCTGTTCTCTACATATCTAAGCTTGTGTTGCAAAGCAAGTCAGAAAGGGGTTTCATGGAGGAAACTTTACAAGTGCCTTTTCAAGCAAATTTTTAAAAACTAACTCCATTTAAATGTAGCAAACACAGCAAATACTTTTCTATTTCTCTCACACACATACATAGCACATATGTACTCAACCAAGGATGAGCTGCAGTCCATGAACGTGCGCCTGGTTCCTTTTTCATGATTTTTTAGTTTAACAAAGGGACGCAAGCTACTGCATTAATCAAAAGGACAAAAAAAGAAGATGGTAACTATCTAACTCTTTAAAACTCTAGAGAGAAAGTGATTAGAGGGGAAAAAAAAAAAAAAAGTGAAGTTGGAACAGGGTTGTATGTCCACTCTTTTGTATATGTGGTACAAACCTTTAAGGTTGCATATATGGTATAAGCCTGTGAAGGCTAAGGAGGATCAAATCCAGGATGTAACTCAGATCTATCAAGTTGTGCCAGCAGAAGTCTCTGTCTGATAGTGAAGACTGAGTATACAAGAAAGAGTGGACAAAGATACTTGTAGA